GTGTGTGTGTGTGTGTGTTGTGTGGTGTGTGGTGTGTGGTGTGTGTGTGTGTGCTGTGTGAGAAGGCAGAAACTTCTGTGGACCATGAACAATGGCTGTCTCAGCGCCACTGATGACAGAAAGGCTGAGGAGGCTTTCTCTGTAAGGTTCCATTCAGATTGATATGCAAATAAGCTGTGTGTGTGTGAGAAAGAGAAACTTCTGTGGACCATGAACAATGGCTGTCAGCGCACTGATGACAGAAAGGCTGAGGAGGCTTTCCTCTGTAAGGTTTCCATTCAGCTTGATATGCAAATAAGCTGCTTGTACTCCACAACACTGTTTTCAGCCCTGTTCCTTATAACTCATATCATCAGGCTCATACATACACACGCAAATCAATATCATATTGATCTAGTGACATACAATTTGATCGAGTCTGGGATTTTGTAATTGCGATATAAAGAAATATATTACAAAAATCTTAAGATATATCTTACATTTTGTGTAGACTTGGTTTATTTGTTTCTATAACACAGAACCCAGAGTCGATATGTTAAGAGTGGCAGCTAGGTGGCACGGTGGCATACAATGAATGTGCCAGAGCATAACAATGGCATTGCTCAAGAAAGAAAATTGCATACATTGAACAGAAGAGCAATTGTGTGTTTGTATCTGTAGGCTTAGAGGATCCATCCCATCCTGTTGTTTTAATGAAGAAGATAGTCAATGTTGTCCGACACGGTAATACTGAACTCATGATTCCGAATTACACAGTATCTACACAGCCGGTTTACAGCACATAAGCACACTAGCAGCAGCTCTAGTCCTCTGTCTATATAGGCATTTAGGCACAGTATTGAGTGTAGATCATCCGTGTTTTTCTGCAGCACACGTAAAATGGAGGAAAATAACAATAAAATCTACTATATAGAAAGGCAATTACAGAACACAAATACATTAAATGGCTCTTGCTGGACAAATAAAGCTCCATTGGCAATCTTACATTATATAGTTATGTTCATATCAAGGGATTTGTTTTAAATATCACAATATTTGTACAGTTTGACCATATCACAACTGATAATATTAAGCTGAAAGCAGTTTCTCATTTGAGAAAATGTATTATAACATACTGCTATCATCTAAAATTATGTAAATCATGATAGATTTTATCGCCCACTCTTAATACATACAATTTGACACATAAACACATAAATATCCACACATTTCCATCTTTACATTCATGTATCCACATGCATTTTCTTTCCCTCTC